TATATATATATCACTGTGCTTCCCCATAGGCTGCAGTCAAGACTCTTTTCCAGTAGGTGGCGATGTTCATCTGCAAATCTGCACTACTAAATGTTTTGGAGCACTGTTGTATTCGGAAATACACGGTAAACAATATGTGGTCTCTCATGAGATTAATGATCCGATGAGGACTTGTGCATGGAAAATTAGCAGCTAACTGGCAGACTGGTATAATGCTTTACTTTCATACTAGGCTGACTAAGACTCAGGGAGCGCTAAAGTGAGTGTTTTAAATGGTCAATACAAGGCTTTAGTCTAACTTAATAAAATCAAATAAAGTTCTAAGGAAACGCACATGTGTAAGAGGCTGAAAGGCTGCATGGTGCATTGAGTGTTTTTAATGATCCAAGGCTATATGTATAATGTCTATAAGTGAATTTGTGCCTGATGCATTGTATGATTTGTTGCTTGTTCCACAGTAAAAGGTTTTGAGTAGATACTCGGCTCTACTTGCCAGCGCTACGTCATGTTTTACTAGCTGAACTACACCCTGGAATTATGTTCTTTGCCTTTCTTACCTCTGGTGAACAGGACAGTGTGGAGTTTGAGGCTGCCTCCATTCTGCAGCCGACTGGGGAGCTCATTGAAGTGACAGCTGTCCAGGTAAAGGGTGACCCTCAGGGCATGCCTGGTGCCCTCCACCTGGTAACACACTGGTGTGTCTGCAACACACATACAGAGATGAGGGAGAAGTTAAAAAAACAAAAAACAAAAAAGGCGTAGGCGTGCACTTCTTGAAAATGAAAACGTGCAAAGTGTGTTGCATTGCATTTTAATACATTTAGATATTGTGTACTAAAATGTAATGCTGCATATGTCTAGCAAACGCATATTCAGAGTTCATTAATAGCTGGGTGTTAAATCAAAAGCTAAAAGAAAAACTTCATTAACCTCACTGAAGATTGAATTTATTGAATTATTTGATTTATTTTCAGGGTTTTTTCATTTGGTGACTGATTCCAAGTTCTCATGGCAGCTAGCTGCTAACACTGTCAACCTCTGGGCGACCACTTTTGATCACAAGGCAGCTGCACAGCGAGGTGGGAGGCAACGGGTCTCCGACCAGTTGCAGTCTGACTCACACTGGCTGCAATCACTTTCACACAGATGAGTGGAGGTTTACAAATAACTGCATTCTAATTTATAAACACAGACAGACTTCCAGATCCATGTGCAGGACAAATAAACAGAGGCACCTGATTTCTCTAATTACCCTTTAAATTGCATCAATATCTGGCACATTTTTAAAAATTGTACGTTTGAAAGAAATTGTGATGAATCTATAAAAAAATATAAGATAAGTAATCATTTATAAATCTGAAGCTGACTTGTGCTCAATTCTCCTAACCCTTTCTAGCAGTGATACATGAGCACTTGTCAGAAAATGGAAAAAAAATGACCTTTGCTGCGTGACCTCTGGGGTCAATCCTTTTTTCTAGAGAACCTACCAAGCAATAACCTTGTGGAATTGGCTGTGATCCTTTCAAGGTCCTTCAGACTCTGTGGTGCTTAAACGTCTGTACCTTACATATACCTCTCATCCCTCTGAAAATGCTGTTAGCAAATCAATAGTGTCCAATGGACTGTGACGCCAAAAACCATCTACCTGCACTGCAGCAGTCTGAGTTGATGTCAGCAAAGAAGCTTGGTTAACATTAACATTTTTTAATAGCAAACTGTACAAGACTGGACCTGTAAAGTATATCTATCCCCACATACCTGCCATACGTAAGGAATACAATACTAATGACCGATAGCAATACGTTAGTGCATGCACCGAGTGATGTTTTTGTGTAAAATATATGCAAATGTGCACAAAATATTTTCTCCAGCCAAGCATGAACACAGAATAGCAAATTCCTGCTTCATCCACAGATTTGCCTTTTAAAATGGGAAGTGCACGTTGCGCTTTTCCTTTGAGCAGCAATCTCTGCTGGCCACATTGAGGCTGTTGAAAAGAGGAGCGATTCACGATGCAGTCATCCTTTGTATCTTTGACTTTAAGGGTTTCCGGTAACCCGCAGCACCTTCAGTGAATGCAGATACCAAGCTTATTAAAGCCACAAATGCACCCAGTTATGTAAAGATGTCCACAAAGCCCACTCTGAACAACCTGGTTGCATCCTCAGCTGAAACTACAGCACTGCACTATAATAAATGCTTGGACCTTTTGGTGAATTGGCAGGAGAAAGCTTACTATTGTCATGCTTCAAAGAAATATTACTCCAATATATCGCATACTGCAATTTGTGTTCTTAAGTACTCAAATATTGTTTTTATATTATAGGGGTGCTTATGTGACATATGTCAAGTGTCTCTCAGCAGCATTAAAGATTAAAAGAGGCGACCTTGATATCTGAAATGCTCTGCCCTTGTTTAAGGTGATTTATGGAGTCACCACAGATCTGTCTGAGTTCCTTTTCAGCGGCTCTTCATGGAAGAGAAAATGAAATCTGCAGTGGCATAATGGCAATTTCACCCTAAACAGCGACCACGCATCCACAATAGAAGTTCATTCAGAATTGGTGAAACCATACAGCTGCTCATTAACGCCAGTGCGCTTTGAATGAGGCAAGTCAGTCTTTGTTGATGGGAGTCTCTTACTTGCTACTAGACACTCATCCTCCAGTTGCCTGAAGAACACAGTGACTTTGTCCAAATCCGACAGGGCCGCCTTGGTGTCCTCCAGCATGGTCCGCTCCTCTTTCTGCCCGAGGAGAGAAAGAAAGCTCAGAAGTTGCACCAGAGTAAGAGTTTGGGTAGTTGTGGTGACAGCTGTGCGGCTACAAAGTCATACAGACTTCAGAGTATTTGATTCAGAAACACACACACACAA